GTAAACTGCTTTGGTCTCCATTGCAGAGAAAGACTGTACTTTTCCTCCTGGGGAACCATTGCTGCCAATCTCCAGGTGAGGGCTGGAGATCACTCAGAATTAAAACTGCTCTCCAGATGGCAGGGATCAGCTCCCCTGGAAAAACGGCCGCTTTGCAGAGTGGGCCCTGTGTCATTATACCCTGCTGAGGTTACTTCCCTCTTGCTTAGGTTCCCACTGCGGAGAAAGACTGTAGTTTTCCTAGGTAGAGGCTACAGCAAGGGGTGAAGAGATGGAAACCTGAAGGGCAGATAACAGTATGTTGATGGTTGGCTGGGAAGCTAATAGGGTTGTCACCTCCGGGATGGGAAATTCCTGGAGATTTGAGGGGTGGAGCCTGGAGAGAGTAGAGTTTGAAGAGGGGTGAGACCTCAGACAGGTACAAAGCCATAGACTCCACCATCCAAAACAGCCATTTCCTCCTAAGGAACCATTGTTGCCAATCTCCAGGGGGGGCTGGAGATCACTCAGAATTACAGTTGCTTTTCAGATTGCAGAGATCAGTTCCCCTGGAGGAAACGGTAAGCTCTGTGTCATTACCCTGCTGAGGTCACCACAGCAAACTGACACTGAGTGCCGAAGGCCAGGGCACCCGCCCAGAGCCTCTTTCTAGAGTTCGTTGTATTTATTTCCACAACACGCCTTATTCCTAGTTTTAACATAAAATGCAGTATTTATAAATGACTATATAAAATGTTACTACTTTATAAAAATTAAATACATTTCTGTTTTCTACAAGCAAAATTATGATGATACCCAATATTTTGGATAGCTGCAGGGCTGCAACCTAAGCTACCTTAGCACATGGATCTTAGTTTTTCCCATTTGAGAGGTTGGGGGGGATTAAAGATAGAAAACATTTTTTTCCATAAACAGTAGTATTTGCACAGAAACCATCTCAAAGAATCACAACACCAGCATATCTGGATATTGCATTAAACTTTGTAACATTGAAAACACAGAATTCTTCAATAACCCATTATTGTCATAACGTTATAATTACGACCAAAATTGGTCACAGTCAGGTAATGAACAGGTGAGAATCCACAAGGACTTACCAGGGGGGAACTCATCTTCCTCTCCCCTACAGTTTCCTCTTTCACTTCCCTGAAAGCTCCCACAGTTGCTACCCTTTTCCTGCTTCTTTCTCTCCTACCCTCTTACCAGCCAACCTACATTTACTCCCCACCCCACCCCCGTCTTCAGCTTTCCCTCCTTCCCTGCCCTGGTAGTTTCTACCCAGAAAAACTATGGCCCAGTTACATGGCACCAGTCACCAGGCCCAATTACACAATGGGGAACTTACAAAGAACATTTTCCACTATATTACCTTCCCCACACTATTTTTCCTCCTTTCCTTCTCCTGGCAACCTCATATCAATCTTCTCTGCTTCCTTGTCTCCTTCTCACTCACTCACCCACCTACCTACCTTTTACCTGCTTCCCAATCTTCAGCTTTATTTATTTACCTTCATTTATATCCCACCTTTCTCCCTAACAGTGACCCAAAGCACCTTGCATCATTCTCCTCTCCTCCTTTTTATTATCATCCTCACAACACCCCTTTGAGCACAGGCAGAATGGGAGTGAAAAACCCTACCCCAAAGGAAGGAGGAAGAAAAGATGAGACAGTCTGCCTGACCCTGCCCTGCCCTCCCAAAGCAGGGAAGGAAGAACGGAGATGCAAACTGCCTAACCAATTGGCTGGGTACTGCTTCCCTAATCCCATGGGGGACTTGGGTGGGCCAGGGGCCACCTCCCTCACCTGCCCAATGTGGGGCCAGGGAAGCTCAGGTGCCACCTCCCCTGCCACCTCCCCTACCCGCCTGCCTTGTGTGGAGGTTGGGCAGGCAGGGGACCACCTTCTTTGACTGCCCCATGCAGAACTCGGGTTGGCTAGGGTCCACTTCCCTTGCCCATCTTGTGTGAGGCCAGTCAATCCTGGGCACCGTCTCCCTCACCAGCCTCACCTCGGGCCAGGTGCCACCTCCTCACCCATGTAACATAGGGCCAGGTGCCACCTCCTCACCCATGTAACATAGGGCCAGGTGCCACCTTCCTCCTCCTCCTTGAAGGGGGCTTGGCCAGGCTAGGCTCAGCCCATCTGTCACAGGTCTGGCTCAGCCCAGGTGGGCAGGAGGCCATCAGCTCACCAAGAGGCATCCTGGTGCTCTTAAAGGGCTATTTGCCCCTGCCTGTTAGGTAAATTAGGCTGAGAAATCACCAAGTGAATTTCCACAGCAGAATGGGGATTCTGGATCCTAGTCTGAAACTCTAACCACTATATCACATTGGATTTAGTGGGGTGACTGCTTTTGAACAGTAGCAAGCAGCCAAGACTGGGTGAGTCATACCAGTCCCATGGTAGCAAGTTGCCCTACAATTGCTGTCAGCCCTGGCCCTGATGAGTCCTCCCTCAAAGGCCAAAACATTTCTGGAAAGGACTCTGTCCTTTCCCCCTGCCTTTTGCTGACAGAAACAAAGCTTGGCAATACAGCTGTCAATGCCTAGCATGAGCCATTGAGGTCATCTGTTGTTTAAAGCTACAAGTACCCCTTTATTTTATCATTTCAGAGGTTTTTAAACCCCCACAAAGTATTTGTTTTTTAAAATTTCAGATTCTTCTGCAAACCTGGGGTGTTTTCCAGGTTTGTAGAAATATCCGTAGTGCCCATTCATGGCTTTGTTCTCTGAATTTATGTATCCTCAGATGTGGCTAGGTTGAGAATTAGAATATATGATTTAATATCAATTCTTGAAAATACTCTATATGCCTAAAACACACACCGGAACCATTATTCTGTAATGCTTTTTGCCTTTTGTACTATACATTTTAAATGAGTAAAACTTTATCTAAAAAATATTTTACTCATTTCAAAAGTGAATATATTTCACAGGAGGGTTTTTTCAGTGCTCCTCAGAAGTTCAATTTTTTGCCATTGAAAAAAAATTCTCTGATGAAAATGGGAGTGAGACTTTTCTCCTTCCCCAATTTCCCATTTTTCTCTGGAAACTCCGCATCTACCTGTGACTTCTCCTCTCACATTACAAGAGCACACAACAAAAAATGTTTCCTTTCTAGCTACCAGCTGCTTATTGCAGGAAGAAGTTACACAGGTAAGGAAGTTTGCAAACTGAGAGCCAGTTTGGTGTAGTGGTTAGGAGCACAGACTCTAATCTGGGATTCCTCACTCCTCCTCATGTAGCTGCTGGAGTTTCTTTGAGCAAGCCATAGTTCTCTCAGAGCTGTTCGCTCAAAGCTCTCTCAGCCCCACCTACCTCACAGAGTGTCTGCTGTGGGAAGGAGAAGGGAGATTGCAAGTATAAATCCAATCTCTTCTCTCTTCTTCTTCATCATTCAGGAGTCACTGTCTTTCATATCCTATATAGAATGTATGGGGCACTTTTGAAAATGCCCCCAAAATACAAATCCCTCAAATATTGTTCAAGAAGAAGAAGAAGGAGGAGGAGGAGGAGGAGATTGGATTGGATTTATACCCTGCCCTTCACTACCCAAAGGTGTCTCAGAGCGGCTTACAAACTCCTTTCCCTTTCCCTCCCCACAACAGACACCCTGTGGGGTGGGTGGGACTGAGAGAACTCTGACACAAACTGCTCTTTTTCAAGGACAGCTGTGCCAGAGCTTGTAAATGACCCAAGGTCACATCAGCAGCTGCAAGTGGAGGAGTGGGGAATCAAACCCGGTTCTCCCAGATAAGAGTCCGCACACTTAACCACTACACCAAACTGGCTCTACACCAAACTAGCCAAACCTCTCTAGTTGGCCCCTGGTATCACCCAATAAACAGAATTCTTTGTATCATTTATGTGCATTCTCCTTGAACTCATTCCCAGCAAAAAGTCATACTAACAATCTCTTCATAACCAAGAGTTCTTTTATATGTTAACAATAAGTATGCTGTAATGATGATAACAGAAATTCAGTTAAGGTTTACCCCTTTAATGCAGTGGTTCTCAAATTGGATTTCAAGAAACCCCAAGATTCCTTGGATGCTTACCTGTGGTTCTTTAATGAGAAGTAATGATGGACATGTTTTGCTGTAAGACACTTTGACCAGCATCCACCATTAAAGGCCTTTCAAGTGCAATACTCAGTCACCTGACAGGGTTTGATGCATTCTAGGCTGAATCTTCAACATTATGTTCTCCGGTGAAATTGTTCATTATAGGAAGAGGGTGAACCATTTCCCCACCCCATCTAATTTCATCCATCAACCCACCCACCCCCACCCCCACACACATTCCCACAGCTAAATGATGCGGGGGGGGGGGAGATGATTCTAGTCAGATATCTGCTAAAAATGCTGGGAGGTCCTGATCACAGATATCTCAATGCCCCACCTTGTTTGGTTTTGAGAGACTACCCAAGAATATGCCTCAGATTCCTCTGCAACACACTGTGTTCCTCAGCAGATATTTACAGGATCTTTGGTAGGCAAATGGGCATGGAAAGAGCTTGTTGAGGGTAGTCAATTTGAAAAACAATACTCATTTGTTTATTGCCTGTAAACACTTTTTAGAGAAACAGATAACACCAGCATGAGAAGAGGAACTTGAGGCATTCTAAACCAATGTCAGAAGCCTCAACTGTTACCGCAAATAAGCAGTGACTTCAACATAATATTCATAGTTCTGAGCAATTAATTATCTTTTTGGCCATATACAACACCACAAAAAAGTATATTGAGACAAAATTATCTCTGAGGTAAACTGTACTAAAGTGAACAGGTAGCTAGGGAAACTATCAGCAATCTAGTCTCAGCAGCTCAGAAAACTAAAGCTGGCACTAGTGTTTAGAATTTGGAGACACTTTTCAACAACGCATCGCCTGATGGCTAAAACATGGGTGATGGCTCCAGTCAGGAGCTTATGAAAAACCTGGAAGTTCCATAGTTGCAAGTTCTGCTGCACATTGCCAGCCTCTGCCTGCCCCACATTACCTTCTGGTAATCTTCTTTGGATCTCAGGGCAGCTTCCATCTGTTCTGAGGAGTATGTGTAGATAGCAGATCTATACTGTGTGCCAACATCATTCCCCTGCCGCATTCCTGAAAAAATCAAAATAGGGATCAGTGGGTTAGTTTATTGTTTTCCATCTAAATACCCATTAGGCACAGATGTAAACATTCCAGTTTTAGTGCTTTTCTTCTGTACATTTAGTGGGCGCTTCATGCACTGACTGAGCACCCACAGTCATTTGCTGTCAAGGGCATTTCTCTCTCTCGCTTAAACAGACATTAACTAAATACGTGCTATGGCTTGATGACATCACCAGCAGCCAAGTACAGTTGTAAGGCATTCAAAAGAATAAAATGATTGCATTATGTGCCATGGTTTAATTTATTAAAATCAAGTCTCCTAAAATAGTTGGTTGATACCACAAAATCTCTCAAAGAGGCCTTAAAAATCTCTCCTTCTAAAAACTGGGAGATGCTTATCTGAAAAGGTAGTTTTTAACACCTTCAGAAAAGCTGGCAATACTTTCTTAGCATCCTGATCTGCTTTTACAAGAAAGAAGGTTCTGTGCTGGCTCAGTGCAATAGAAGGCTAAGGCTCACGTATGCTATGGGGAAAAATAAGACTGCAGACAGGTAGGGAGGATCACTTTGCCTGTGCTATTCAGTACATTATGCACGATGATGCACCAGAGAGCCAACATAAATTGATGCTACTGCATCAGTTAACAGCCACCATTTTTATTTATTTAGGCACTTTTAACCCTGCCCTTGAAGTAAACACTGTCTTTCTTAAACAGGCAAGCAGGTGTTGCCTTTCTGAGCTGCATACAAAGCTGAGAGAGGCCATAGCACACTTGCTATCCTACAGGCTTTTTGGCTGAACATACGGTTAACGACAGCAGCATGATCTGGTAATGAGGCAAGCAGTATTGGCAGTACTGTGGCAGTAAAGGCAGCATTGCAGGGGATACCTTTCCTGCCATAAACAATGCCATTCTAGACACATCAGTGCATGTTACTAAACCCTGACCTGATATCAACAGCTCTGTGTGTGTGTGTGTGTAGCTCACAATTGCACACACACACATAAACATACAAAATGTTTATTTAATCATTTTAATAACTGTGTTACATGTCTGAAAGCTGGAGGGATTTTTGGACAGAATTGTAAAGAGATCAATCTAGGACTGTGGGCAATGACAGAAAAGTGTTCTAGAAACAAAAGATTGCCCTGCTGAAACTTGAACTCTTCTGCAAATTTACTGAGAAACAGAGGTATCGTTTAGATACAGTGCCCAAAGCCATACCTTTAAACACAACAATTGGAGAATGTCTTTTAATGAAACCATAATGAAATTTTGGGAGTTTATGTATTTATTTGACAACCTCATATCTTCATATCTAATCACTGTGTTTTCTTCCTTTTCTGTGAGAAAATACCTTAAATAAAACCCTTCTTGTGCACTTTGAACAGGTACTTCTTCTACAGCACAGTTACAATTTTATCCCATCCACTAACAGGTGAAGGGGTTGGTCATTCAAAGAGAAAAATGAGGTGGCTCACTGGGATTTCTATGAATTCTATCATGAAAGAGCAGCAAGGACTCACTGCCCTTCTGTAATGGCAGTAGTTTGTTTTCTGACAGCCTCTTGTGGAATGGAAGACTGGCTGTGGGAATGGTGATCATACAGTCAAAACCCCTGCTGGGAACCCCCTTTGAAATCTTTTAAGGGACCAACATCTGGATTTCCTTTTTTGAGTTCTGGAAATGTTTTCTTCTCTGACGATGATGTAGCCCGTATTTCCACTTACAGTCAGGGAGAAAATACTGAAGCTGGTCTCTTTATTGCCTACAATAATAACTACACTGTTTTGCATATAGCTTATTCCTCTGAAAAACTGGGGAGGGGGCTGCTACATCTAGTGGCCTCCCTGTGAATCTATTTTTCTTCATTTCCCAAAATATCATGAGCTCAGTATTGCAGAGGATCTCAAAGGGCTCTAGCCTTCACTTTGTTTGGTCGGGCTGTGGGTTTAAACCAGGCATGTGTTTTCAAAGGAACAGTTGTGTTAAAAACTTGACACTGTGCTATTTGGCTTATATTTATCTGCTGTTTAGACTGCTTAATTGCTTCAGCATGTAAAATCTTGAGTGATTTTATTCTTTTCCTAAAGGAAGAGGTGATATCTCCTGATAATTGTGAGCTATTTTGAAGATGAGTGCTGAAGAAGAATAAGCTTGTCTCCCCCACTGGATCTACTTTTCTTCCTTCCTTGTCCATCAGGGTAGAATAAGCAGTTATGTCTTTGATTCCTTTGCAAGATTTCCACAGCTACCACATTTGCTAAGAAGTGTGTAAATTGAAAGCAATGCCCCCTGCTATTCTGGTTGTAAAACGGAAGGAATGTATAAAACACAAGGTGGAACCAAAGCCATTTTCAGTCATGGGCCCACTGTAACACGTAGTGGCCTTTGCATGACAGGGAAGGCTACTGGCACAATCAAGTCTGCAAACAGTACTCTGAGCTCTGGATCTGAACCCTTTGGGGCTGAATGGGTCACCTCTATATCCAAGACTGAGTAATTGTTCTGCACAGAGTTTAGGTCTTCAGGTAAGGAAACTGGGTTACTGTGTTGGCCAGTGACAAATCTGAAAGAATTTCTAATTCACATAGGCTGTGATCACACGAGCCTTTAGATCCGACATAGGTATGAATGCCTGATGGATCTTAAGGGAGCAATCAGACAGCAACATCTGGGAATCACCCCACAGTCGTCGGCAACCTGTGCTGCTCTGCCACAGAAGCGGAGTTAAAAGACACTGGGGAAAGTACGGTAGTAAACAGATTCCGATGGGTCACGGACAGACTTTCCCCTGTCTGATCGCTCAAGCATGCTCTCAAGCCGTTGGGATGGTCTGATCGGGCCATCCCGGGTCAGTGCCACCCTCCCCCTTTGCAGTATGCACACTCCATAGGGGACCCTCAGTGCAGAGTTGTGATTGCTCATTTATGCGCATGGGAAACAAATGGTCAAAAAAAGAGACTCACCCGCAGGTGTGTCTGATCACACCGCGGGTTGCGCCCACAGCAACAAAGGGAGGTGTGATGTCGCAACTGCGTGTCAAATTCCTCAGGAGGGAATAGTCTCGCTTCCCCTCCACTTCAACTGGTGCATGTGACCACAGCCATAGTGCAGAACTTTGCTTATTTTCCAGATGGGAACCAGTACTACTCCATTGCTGTGCCAAACTGTAGTTTTCCCTTTGATCTTATCATGGTACTTCTTTTGGTGTTTTAATTTCATTTTGGATTTTTTTTAAAAAAAAAATCTGCTGGAGCTTCTAACTGGCTCCAGAGCAGGACAGATTTATCCTTAGGTGATACAGGGACATTGTTCTTCAGTTCTTTTTGTGAATGTTTTACAATTGAGGTCAGAACTATCAGAACTCAAGGATGATCTTAAACATCTCTCTCTTTTCTTCAGTGTCATTTGCTGCTGGAGTTTTTCCCCAAAGGGCAGCTTTTAAATGGAAAGCTCCATTGCTTCCAGGCTTCAAAGTAAACCACTCACCAGGCACTTAATGATACTATGCCCCGTCCTCACCAAGGCCTAGTTTGCAGTGGGAGAAAAGGACTTTTTGAGCCACAGTGGAAGCAAAAGTTGAAGTATTTTACCTCTTTATATTTGTCTGCTGTCTTTTATTTTTATGTTGTTCTGTCCTTGTGGAATGGTTCACAAAACTTCTTTTTCTTGTGGTAGAAAAGAGAGGACTGAGGAAAGCAGGTGTTGCCCTCCCACCTCAGGTAACCCAGAGGTGGGAAAAACCATTGGAGAAGGAAGAAAGCACTTAAGAGTATCAATCAACTCTAGAACCTTCCATAGTCAGCCTGTGCATGCATAGTGTGTGTCCATGTGGGTCTGCACAGAGACCACAACAATGACTATTTATTAAACTGGCATTTTAAAAGTCACACATCGTTACTAAGATCCCACATTCCTAGACGTGTGCTATGAGCCCTGACTCAACTCACATCTTGGCAGCCATTTTAGGCGTTAGCAGAGCCTCTCTTCGGAGAAGGCAAAATCATGGCTTGCCATAATCTAGCTATGCGGTTTCTGTTCATTATGCTAACAAGTGGCCAACCCACTGAGTGGGAGCCTGAGTGGGATGTCTGCCTGTCTCCGCTAGGGCTCACAAAGCCAGGGGGCCACCTCTGTCTAGCAATATCATCTTATCAGCAAAGGCAAGTCCTCCTGATTGAAAAATTGGATTACTGTCAAACTGCTGAGTGGCCCTGATAGCTCTTATTGACCTTGCCTGAATGCCTCCTACAGCCTGCCTCAGGCATGGATGAAGCCTCCACCATCCCATGTCCTTCTGTCCACCCAGGATATTCCCCAACAGGAGTGCAATCACCTTTTCTTGCCCTCCTGGGAACACCCTGCCCCCTTAATTCTAGGAGATCGCCAGCTACTACTTGGAGATTGGCAATCCTACCTTCTGGACAGAACAGTTTCATCATTCTTGTACCCAAGTACCTTTTAATTCCTGTACCTCTGTATTTCCCCAAGTAGAATCTAAACCTAGTTTTGGAAAAGATCTGGTTGTTTCCTGGTTACTGGTAGCTTTGAGCTTGCTTGCTCATCATCTAGGTAAAGATTCCTAAACAATACATTCTGTTCCTCCTAACTGGTGACTACATCACTTTTCCAAGCTAGCCAGGCTCTGGGAGCAGGAAGAGGTTTCTCCAACACTGAGCTTAAATTTCCCCAAATTGGTTGCATTTCTGGGTGACACAGCCCAAGTCCACACATGTCTAAGGATACACATGAAAGTGAGCACATGTGAAAACAACATATACCACTTGTAATCTCCTTTCCACAAAAGACAAAACCAGTGGAGACATTGCCATTCTCCCTTCATTCTCAAAGGATCCCAAAGATAAAGGAAAGAGATTACAAAGACCTGCAGTTCACTTTGCAACAACACAGCAAAACTATGAAGGGCATCGTAAAGCCCTTACTTCAGTTGTAAAAACGTATCTTTGATTCACAGAGTTTTCTGCAGCTGTCACTTATCTTCTG